CTTGAGAGTCAAAGTTGAACCAGGAATCAAACCAGGAGAGTCCAGTGTATCGGCCGACACACTAGGGACAACCACATCAATACTGACACAAACAATAGTGACATTTACATAAGAGTGTCTTTTCAGTGAACTTTCCTTCATTCTGCTTTCTTTTTCTTTATAAACCACTGAGCCCGTTTTTGTAACTTTCGAAATAACCAGCATGGACCTAGTAGAGTTGTTAACTCATACAAAAATAACCACAACACACACAGTGACATCTGACCTTCTCCAGTATAGGCAGCCAGGCAGTGACCAGGTGAAGATTCTTAAGACACAACCAATCTCCATTCTTAGAACACTCCCGCACCAGCTTCATGGCCAGCTCCGACTGACCTTGACCCATGGCCACCTGGAGAGAGAGAGCGAAGGTTAAGATTCACAACTGTTGTGTCATCTACTGTTCAAAGGAACATGTTTACATTTATGTATTCTTTTGCCCCCCTCCCTCCAGTTCTGACCTTCAAGCTCTCCCAACCATGAAATATCAGTAGTTATGCCTTATTGAAAGTGATTTCAATGTGTGAGACAAAGGCTGTATCCAAAGCCCTCAGTAGCATTTTGCAAGGATATGGTTACAGACATAGCCACAGACAAAAGGTTTAACACAAAACAGTAAAATTAACTAGTTCAGGGTTAATACATATGAATATTGATGGTGTTATTTTCTAACTGTGTAACGGAAGGAAATACGTCAACTCATTTTTTCCCCTCCTAACACCATTGCCAATGTTGACCTGTGAGTCCTCAATAAAATTAAGAGACAGCATGCACAACAAATGGTAAAAAAGTACTGAGGGATCAGGTTTTTTGGTGGGGTTTTTTGGGTATGAGTTCTATGGCGCTCACAACTGCATCAGGTCATATGAACATGCGGGACACATAAAACATTTTAAGTTGGCAGGAAATTTTGAATTTTGCCCAGGTGGCGGCCGAAGCCTACTTTTATCGATTTAAGACCACTAAGGGATCTTTATCGTGCACAACTTGCACATAGGACCTCCAAGATTTTTCGCCCTTGTCCGAGAAGGCTAGATGTAGATCTTTCCTACCAGAAGATCAGGGGTGTGGCTGAAAGACGGCAGAAAGGAGGAGCCAAGGAGTAGCAGTAGAAAGACTGCAGAAAGAGTCAGAAGCCAAGAGGAGGGGGCAAAGGAGGTGAGGGGGAGGAGGTAGAAAGTGGAGACGAAATCAGACGACAGAACATTGCTTGAGAGCAGGAAAGGAGGTGAAAGGAGACAATTTTAGAGAAGAAAATTTTTCCGTCGCTACCCGGATTTTAGCCCGGAACCTTTAAATGAGAGGTGAACACCTTAACCTCTAAGCCACGAGAGCCCGCGGCTCAGTTTTTGTCAACTCTCAAGTTTAACATAAAAAAACCCAACTATCTACACCACTAGAGCAATTAACCATCAATATATGACATAAAGTAAAATATATAGCTAAGTCTGTTATACAAGACCACCTGCACTTAACGTAATAAACAAACTCTTCACTTTCCCATTTCAATACAAAAAGAACACGTGCGTACCTGGTGATACCTCTCAAAGCCCACTGTCTCTGTGGCCAGCTCCTGCAGCTCCTGTGAGGGGTCAGCACCGGTGGAGATAACGATGAGAATGGGTTCGGCTGCGATTGACTCTGTGTACAGTTTCTTCAGGTTCACGGATGGAGGAGACAGCTCTTTCATGCCTGAAACACAATCGGGAATGATCTATCAAATGTTGTATATGCAAACACTAGTGAGTGGTTATGTGAAAATAGATGCGTATGTAACTACCCAACAGCAAAATGAAACGTCGGTGGCCTAGTGGTTAGGCTCTCGGACTCGCAACCGTAAGGTCGTGGGTTCGAATCCAGTCAGGGCCCAACGTTGTGTCCTTGGGAAAGACACTTTACACCAATTTTCCTCACTTCACCCAGGTGGGAATGGGTACTTAACTATAGACAGCAAACGATCTTGTCAGTTTGTTAGTGTTTGAGCGCTTAATCAGCTGCTTGCACTGTATGCTTCCCGGGAAGCTGAGAATGTTTCGGAGTGTATGATGGTCTGCTGGAATAAAAATATAGTGTAAAGCACATAGAGCCTGCTGTTGAGTGGGGATATGCGCTATACAAATGCTATTTATTATTTTTATTATTATTATTATTATTCTTAACATAAACAACACCCACCCCCTTCTCGCCTCCTCTCTCTTGCCTTCTAGGCATCAAATCCAAAACAGAATCAAAGTTACCTCACTGGCTACCCCTGCTGAACACCACGTGGACATAGTACTGTTTCTACTGACTACCTTTGCTGCAGCCCCTGCTGTTTTTGAGTTCAGAGATTGGTTGTTTTTTTCGTTATTACCACAGCATATGTGACGTGGATACTGCTTTTAGAAACTACAAACACTTCTGCACCAAAAGAGCGGAAGAAGGGTAGATATGCACTCTGGTGCTCTGAGTGCCAAGTGCTGTTGTGCATAGGACAATGTTTCTGTGTTTATCACTGGAAGGCTAGTTACTGGCTGTAACAAACTGTGACAATTGGACTGACTGTTGCCATCGCTGGTCCTTTTTGTGTTCTCTATGGGAATGTGCCTCAAACAAGAGGAATTTCAGTTGCATACAATTCACATTTGATTTGTGTTCCTGGTCGTAATTTGAGGTCCAACCATTGTTATTGTGGCAATTTACGAATCTATTTTTGTTGTTTTTTAATAATTAGATGAAAGAATATAAAATCGCATTCTGTTTGTTTTCTTACAATCTTAACTATGTCCATAATAAGTGCGCAAAGTTGGGTGACTATATGTTAGTCAGTTTTGTTACAGTGATCATTTGGAAAACAAATTGAAATAGCAGGTACGCAGAGTACGTCAAAGACAAATATGAAGGGTAGCCAGTGAGTTAATGATTTTCTGTTATTTCCCAACAATAATACACATACATACACGTACACCTACCTGGACATGCACATATACACACAAACAACAAGAGGAACAGATATTAATATATAAGACAATATAAGACATAAACAAAAACATATATACATTGTAGTCAACCACTGCCCAACAAGCAAACAACCCCATGCCACAGACCAGCCTGTCTGCCGTATCACCTGTATTGTCACACACACACACACACACACACACACACACACACACACACACACACTACACATACACACACACCAACAGTTGTACTCACCAAGCGCCCGACAAGCAAACAGCCCCATGGCGCTGACCAGCCTGTCTGGCCTGGTTGCCTGAACCACCAAGACCTGCTGGAACAGAGACAAGCGGCGTTCCACAGCCGAGGGAAACTCCTGCTCACACTGACTGCTGCGGGCAAAGTTTGACCACAGGCCGGAGTCCTCCAGGTCTAGTTCTTGGTACAGACGAGGGAAGTTGGTCTGTGAACAGGGGACATGAATTGTGAACAGGGGTCACGAATTGTGAACAGGGAACAACAATTGTATACAAGTCCATAATGGAAAACTAATCATCTTTATTTTTTTGGACATAGTTTTAGTATCATTAGAATATAAAAATATCTCCAGTACAAATGTGGGAAGTTGATCTGGGAACACAGGACATAAACTGTTAACAGGGAACAACAATTGTAGGAACTGACGGTAAATTAATCAGCTTTATTGGACACTGTTTCAGCATTACCAGAAAAAAAAGAACAGTTGAATCTGTTCTAATGGCCACCTGTCCAAGACAATCACCTGTACAAATGAGCACTTCCCACCTTGTGGTTTTTTTTACTACATTATAATGACACTGTCCAAGACATCCTTCTGTTTAAAACAATCGCTTTTTTCCACGGTAATGGACGGCTGTCTTGGACAAATTCATCTGTATCTCTTGGTACAGACGGGGGAAGAGGCATATGAACAGGAAACAACAATTGTAAGAAGTGACAATAAATTATCCTTATTGGACGCACTTTCAGCATTATACGAAGATTTTATAATATTTTTTGTACCAATGCAGGAAGCTGGTGTGTTAACAGGGCACACCAGTTGAACCACTGAGAAGGCAAATTATTTCTGTTGGAAACAGTCCACCAAGAGAAGAGAAAAGCACCATATTTTCTTAAATATCCCACAAAAGGGGAAAACCCACGAAGTAGAAACAATGTATCTATTATGTATTTTATGCCTTTCTATACCATCCCCATACTGTTATAAACCTGTCCCAAATTCTTACAAACATTAACTTTCGTATAAATATTTGTTAATAATGGTTGGAACTATATATGACTCGTGAAAACAAAAATGAACACACTTGCAGAAGAAAACAAATGAACCAAGTACACGAATTAAACTAAAAAGAAAGATCACGAATAAAAGATGAATTTGCGGTTACCTTGAAGGCTGCCATGGCAGACTGTCTTTCCTGGTCCACCCAGGAGGGGAGACGACTGCTGTCTCCCTTCACATCTGCCACTAACATGCCAGAGAAAGCCTCCCACTCCTGCAAGTAAATTGTACGAAACAGATGTCGTTGTGTGATTTGCGTATAATCAAACAAGAGAAAACTCTGCCATTTTGATGGAATATCTCATGGAGGGTTTTGAAGATATTTTTGGCTAAACTGGACTTTCCGTGAAGATTTTATGAGATGGTATTGTGGATTCATAGTTGGATCAATAATAACAATTTTAAGAAAAGTATCCAGACAGTTTTGTAGCAACAGACAAAAATAGAAATATCTGGTACTGTGCATTCATAGTTGGGTCAATTAGAATTTTTTTAGAAGAGTATCCAGACAGTTTTGTAGCAAAAGACAAAAATAGAAATATGTAGAAAAGTTTGGATAAAGCATAAAAAATTAAGGCAACAACTCACGTTCTCAGAGAAGAGATCGGGGCGGTATCCGTGAACCATATGCATGGCAAACATCATGCGGTCAGCCTTGAAGAGTGACCGACAGACGTACTCGTAGACCAGCATCTGAAGCTGGGAGCTCAGTGTCTTGATACGTAGCTCCGTGCCACTGCCATCCTGGAACATCGAGATCACAGCACATCAGTCAGCGGTAGGGAAATCGAGATGGTTTTTGGAAGAGTCTGTACTTGTTTGTTTGTATGTGCATATGAGTGTCTGTCTCTGTGTGTATGTGCACATAGAGGGGGAGTAAGCGAATTTGTAAGTGTGTGTGTGTGGGGGGGGGGAGGGGGGCAGGGAAGGGACGATAAAGTACATATTATACAGTAGACATCTCACATGTTTGTGAGAGACAGACACAGATACAAAGAAAGACAAACACAGACACAAACACATATAAACACATATACACATGTTTGCTTGCATGCACACGCACGCACTCACACACACACACACACCAAGACACACACACATATACACACACATACACATACAGTAGACATCTCACATGTTTATGGAGCAGTGCCCTCTGGAACAGCCTGAGGAAGGCGGCCAGGGAGAACCGGTACATGTTGTTGATCTTAGCCAGGTCAGAGATGACGAAGTACAAGCAGCTGCCGCTCTCCGCCAGGGGGAGGTAAGTGTTGCGCTCCTGGTCCAGAGAGGCCTGCAGGCGCACCGACTCCGTGAGAGACTCTGAGATGGTGATGCTGCTGGCCTTAGTCTGATTGAGAGAGTCCAAGAGTTCTTTGTTCTCCAGAATGTTGCCCTTAGCATTGGCCAGCTCCTGGGGAGGAAAAACACACACACATAAAGGTGTGAGAGACAGGGCATTTCAAAACTTTAAAATAATACAGTAATGCTTGTAGATGTTTTATGCCCTCATCAATATAATCTGTATCATGTAAGACGCAGGCTATATTGACCTTGCTAATCAGGGTCACCACGAGGAAGTGTTAAGGCAAACAAGACAGAGCCCAGTCAGAGATGAGGTGGGAAGAAGGCAGTAGTGATGGATTGGACATACTCTCAGGAAGTCAGGCAGCTGCATAACAAGAAAAGTGTTGGGTTGGAATCCACAGTGTAAAAGATCAAGGGGTAGACCATGTGGAACCTCGACAAGAGTCACAGAAATTGATGTACAGAAAAGTGGGGAGACATGGAATAGCATCAACAAGCTAGCCCAGGATAGGGAAAGGTGGAAAGTGTTTGTTCGTGGCCTATACCTTGATTCAGGGTGAGAAAGACAATGACGATGATGAATCAGGGCCAACCCAGGCAAAATGGGATACAGCATCTAAGTAGACGGATGGAATTACTGAATAAAAAACTTTGCCGCTTGTGAATCAAAGTCATGTTCACTGCACACAACTGTGCAGAGCTGGTGGAGTGTCCTTGACACAGATACAATAAGACGAGCCTAAAAACATTCAGCTGAGTGAAAAGTACCAGCAGGGTATATTTTTGGTCGGATTGTCGATAGATATACTCAACAGTGTGAGGTTATGTCTTTCGTGATACATTGGAACATATGAAATTAAGTATGAATTATGTATACCTCTCACTGGTGTGATACTATGTTCTATTTGACTAGTCATAATGTATGCATTTAAGTAAGCATGATGTATAATCCTCTACTGTAATTAAATATCACAAGGATCGATAAAGCCAAATTTTCTTTACGCCCTTTTCATTTGATAAAACATTTTTATCAATACAATCTATATTATCTGTCCTCTAATTTAAAGGAAAATGGGTATTGTACAGGGTCTTTCCAATGGCCAAACATTGAGACTGACCAATCCTCTACACTGTGACTGACCATCCCCTCATGAAGACCGACGGTCCCTATATAGGGGAGACTGACCATCCCCTCATGGAGACCGACCATCCCTATATAGGGGAGACTGACCATCCCCTCATGGAGACCAATGGTTCCTATATAGGGGAGACTGACCATCCCCTCATGGAGACCGACGGTCCCTATATAGGAGAGACTGACCATCCCCTCATGGAGACCGACGGTCCTTATATAGGGGAGACTGACCATCCCCTCATGGAGACCGACCATCTCTATATAGGGGAGACTGACCATACCCTCATGGAGACCGACGGTCCCTATATAGGGGAGACTGACCATCCCCTCATGGAGACCGACGGTCACTATATAGGGGAGACTGACCATCCCCTCATGGAGACCGACCATCCCTATATAGGGGAGACTGACCATCCCCTCATGAAGACCGACGGTCCTTATATAGGGGAGACTGACCTGAAGCAGACTGGACTCCAGCTTAGCCAGCTGTATCTTGAGATCCTCTTCCTGTTTGAGAAGTTCCGTCTTGCGAACCTCCAGCTCTGGCTTCTCATGCTGTAGGGTGTTAGCTAGAAGCTGTTGGGACAGATACAGTGTAGGGTATAAGTTTGAAGCTAGACTTTGTTTACCATAAAACCGTTTAACATGAAATTGCTGTTAATATGAAAGGAATTCAAATCTTTCCATTGCAACTTCCTTCTGCACGAAATCTACCTAACATGAATTCTCTGGTTCTGAGAAGTTTGTGTTATCAGGGTTTTATTGCTGAAATTTGAAACATCAAATTTGAGCAACTTTCATTGGCATTTCTTTTATCCCTTTCCTACTTGAGAATTGTAATGATAGTGCCAAAATAACCTTCAGCGTCGTTAAAAAAATAGCTTAAGGGGTGTCCCTTGACGTTGGAAACCTCTGACAAAATAACACAACGTGACTTTGCACTGACTGACCTGTCCTGTGAGTCCGGCCCGTGTGGTGGTAAAGTTGACCTCGGTGATGATGGCTGCTGCATCTGGTGGGATCTCGGGGTTCGGGTTCCTTGTGGTCAGAAACAGTCGGAACTCTTCATTGTAGTCAATGGTCTTCTCTCCAATCTGCACCACATAGCGAGGGCCTGGAGCATGGAAATGGGGTATCCTGTTAGGCTACACATTGCATAAAATAGAAAATATTTGAATGTCATAATCATTACCATCATTCTTCTTCCTGTTCTTACTATCATTCTTCTTCTCATTATTATTATCATTCTTCTTCCTGATCTTACTACCATTCTTCTTCTTCTTCTTATTATTATCAATCTTCTTCCTGTTCTTACTATCATTGCTCCTCTCATCAATCTAATTTTTTTTGTTCTTATTATCATTCTTCTTTTTATTATTCATCTCCCTGCTCCTATGCACAAACCTTGAGCAGTGAGGTCACCACGCAGCAGCGGGAACAGCACAGGCTCCACACCATCCACTTCCTGTATGATCAGCGTCTTGCCAAAGCGAACAGCCAGCTCCAGAGCTGTGCTGAAGTTGGCATCCTGAACTCACAGAGCAGATGAAAAAATGTAGTTTTAGACTACTTGTGTATATATGTCGGGCAATCACACACACATACATGATTCAAACACTCACCCTAGCACAAACGTATACACTCTCATATACAGACATCCACAGATTAACAAAAACCACATTAGCATCTGGGGCAAATTGTTAGGCTCTTCACTATTTAATGCATAAGACATAAATTCAATTTCCAGTGGGGAAGTTATTTAATTGTGTATCTTTATCCGTCTGCAGAGATTGTGTATCCTTCTCAGCCTAGGTTGGCCCTGACAGGCAGGGTCAAACAAGCCTGATACTTCAACGTGCCTAATTGTTTGAGGCAGCGTGGTGAAATCAGGCGCTTGTCAAAATAATGAAATCTGAGCAAACGGCATTTTTCAGCCAGTTTGGAAATTTTTTGGGAATTTTTGTTTTTTGGCTCAGTACCTTGTATGTCTGTTCAAAAACACTTCTATGTGTGGATTATATGGAAAAACGCTGATTAAAGGCACAAAAAAATGTAAATTTGCAATTTCCAAGGAGTCTTAAGCTATGGAAGTCATCAAACTTTGGCCGCCATTTTCTTGCCAATTTTACTTCTGAAACCAGGCGACCCCACCTCCTTCAATCGCAAATATCTCGACTTCTATTCAAGATCAATGGATATTTTTTTCATTCAAAGAAAGGTAAATGAACAGCCTTGAAGATGATACCAATATCTCCATATGTCCAAAAATTGACAAGCGCCTGATTCCACTGCATCGTGACGCAAATGATATACTGCCCACACACAAGAACTGATATACAAAACAAGCAAGGTAGAGCCTACAGGTAGACAATACATCACCTGTTGGTTGACAACTTCCAACCGCTGTTCCTTCAGGTGAACTTTGAGCCACTCTGTTGCCCTTGACGATGGGTCCACCAGAAAAGGTCGTAGGGAGCTCTGTGGGAGGCAGGTTAAAATTTTTGTAGAGACATGTAGAACTTCATTCACATGATAAAGACTATTTATGTATGGCAAATGTAGTTTTATTGTGGATACAAAGACGTAGAATAAATATGCACATTACCACAATATGTTCGACAGATGTACACTTAGTTTCATTGTAGATACATAGAAGTACAAATGCACATTAATATAATAAAAACTATTAATACACGGCAGACGTAGTTTTATTGCAGATCCAAAGAAATACATTAACATTATAATGAGTGTTCATGAGCAGCAGATGTAGATTTGCTGTAGAAACAGGCAAGTACATAAGTGACATTAAAATGACAAATTATGTGCTGCAGATGTAGTTTTCTAGATACAGCAAATACATCAAAACCATAATGACTATTTAAGGTAAGGGGAAAAAGTAAGACAGACAGATGAAGGGCAGAGTGATAAATATGTTATATTAAAAAAAAAAAAAAAAAAGAGCTAATCATCTGATTCACAATCTAAGTGCTGTGGAAGAAAAAACTCAATAAAAGGAGTTCAAAAATTAATGGTCACTACACATTTTGAGATCAAATATTTCATCTGTGTACAAGGGTGGGGGGGGGGGGGGGAGGAGGAACAATAAGTAACGAAATCATTTTATTCGTATAGGTTCCCAAGAAATAATAATTCTATAAGATCTCTCAACAATCATTCTATGAAAACCTATGACAGCATAGATAACAAAACCTTCAGGAGCATAAGAAAAACACCTAAAATGACTAAACATCCATAAAACTGACAAGTTGCCCCAACACTAAAGCTGAGTTTTCCCTCCTACAAATTATGTTTGTGATGTAAGACTGTATAAGTATGTTTATGGTGTTCAAGATAATTCTCCAGTCTCGATTCAAACAACAATGTTCACCAGAAGGTAAACTGTTAATCTTAATATGCGTGGTGCATGCAACCTGGTGGTGACTATATATGTGGCAAACATTCTAAGGGGTGGGGTGGGGGTGTGTGTGTGTGGAGGGGGGGGGGGGTGCTGTTGTGCACCGGGTGGATTTAGTTTTAGTAAGAGTTTTACATCCCTTGCGACACAATAAGACTATATACCAGTGTTGAAGATTTTAAGTGTTACAAGAGAGTAACAAAGACAAAAAAAGAAGGAGAGATTAGGACGACAGACAGGGTGGGGTGGTGGGGGGTTACTGTTGTACACAACTTAAGACACAATGTGGCTTTTCCATACATGTAGGATCGGAACATGTAAATTGTCAGGAGTATTTGTATTTGTATCAATGTGATGCTATCTGTATTTAGCACTTTGAAAGCTGAAGAAAGCACACTGTCAATTTCTCCCATGAGGAGATCAACAGAGTATATCTTATCTTATCTTATCTTAATTTAAGATGACGTATTACCCAAGCCAAGCCAAAATACACACAACCTGTTTCCACAAAGACAAATTTTCAGAAATCAGCCTAACACCGATAAATTAAAATTTTCTTCAAGTTCAAATCCAACACCAAGTTTTGTCAAGCCTGCAAACAGCCATCAAACAGATGAACAAAAAAAATAGCAGAGAGACAATCCCCTTGAATGATAAAAGTAAAAGAAAAAACCATGGCATTGACAATAATATGAAAGGAGTTAAATCAGCTCCCAAAAATATACAAAAGAAGAAAAATAAATCCTGCAAAAAAGTACATGTAATTACCACTTTACACACATCTAATAAAACAGTTTGATGACAAACAATGATAGCCTTTTGCTAAGAGTGAACATGAAATACATGTATGCTGAAAATTCAGAAACAAATTCACTCAAACACATAACGTTTGTTCACTTTTTATATATGTCTATCCCAAGATACAATTTAATGGCTAAATTTCTTATGATCACGGAAAAACATCAAAATAGATATCATGGGTTTGTTTCAGTTTAATATCTGACTCGTATACTACAATTGATCTTCTTCTTTGATGTTTTAAACTCCCCCATTGACAAAGTTTACATCATTTAGGTGGTGGACTTCAACTATGCTTGTCAAGGCCAACCCGCGCTGAGAGGGATACATGTCTCAACAGAAATACTGAACGACTGGATAGAATTTCTCACATCTTGGGAATTGAACTAAGGTCCCCTGAGTATGACGACAAAGGTCTAAACCACTACAACAGAGACGCAGGTCACTGTAACACAACTTTTTGACATAACTTGACTGGACTGGAGTTTTCCTCGTCCACCCGAAAAATATTTTCTTTCGCCCAGTATTCTCATAATTTCATTCCCACATTGTTTTCTCTTCAGTCTGATAATAAGCCACAACCAGAAATGTTTCCCCCACCCCCCCAAAAAAAAACCCCAACCCCCCCCCCCAACAAACAATAACCCCCCCCCCAAAATCCCAGTCATAAACATGCATGAAAAAAAAGTTTACCATTAAACTCCGAGACGAACTTATAAAACCACCAGCGTCAAATGATGATGAATATGTGTGGCAGCGTAATGAACTGAGTCGCTTGTCGTGGTTTGATACATGAATTAAGTAGCATCAGGTGAAATATCTTTCTTACAATATACATGCTGGTACAATTATAATCATGGGTACCGTTATCAAAAGAAATGTCTTTCCACAAGTTACACGTTGGCACAATAGATACTAATATTACTGTTTTAGATCAAAAGTTAGACTTTATGTTGATTGAAGTTGGAAAGCATGAAAAAGACATTTTGGAGCAAATCACGGAAAAGTTTAGAAATAAAAATAGAAATGGACTTCCACTCAGTAAAACCTAGATTAGGAAAAAACCCACCTTCATAAGCTTATATTTGGGTCAATTAAAGAATGGGAATTGATAATTGCTAGCTCACATGTATGTATATTTGGAGAAAAAAAAGAGGGGGGGGGTAGATAATATTGAACTTTGCCCAGCATCTGGGAAATGACTAAACGCGACAAGTGACTCGCCAAATTGCGCTGCCTCACAAACAAAACAAAAGGAAACTTCCAAAGCCAACAATCGAAAGCAAGAAGAAGGCAACATAAAAGGTAATGGAGGTGGGTGCAAGGTTGTTTTGTTGTGCTGGGACGTCGTCGTTGTTGGGTTTTGGGGGGTTGGGGGAAGGCAGGACACAGTGAAGGCCACAGCAAATAGTGTACAATAGATCTTACCCCGACAGGAATATCGTGTATCTGGGCATGCGCAGAGAACAAGGACATGTCATATATTTATCATGGGCACACATGATATACAACATACACCCATACAAACAAATAAACAAAGGGTATTTTGTGCAAGCCTCATTGCATTGCTGTGTTTTATCCACCAGTTCTGTCATTAAGCTTGGCGGGGGTGGGAATACAGGGCACAGCATATTATATGTGCATGTATGTCTATCCTATCTAATAAGGGAAGAAGGTCAGAGATGGACATCATAACGCTATCCTACGCTGTAAGGGGGGCAGGGGGGGGGGTCAGAGGTCAGATATACAGGGAGTAGATAAAAGGTCAGGGGACAACATATCTCTTTCCTAACTAGTCAGGTAGAATAAAGATAAGCACATCGACGATCATAGCCAGCTGTTTCCTATTCCTGTAAGACATAGCACTAACCCCACTGAGACCCCCATGATGACCCCGCATCTGTGTACTAATTTAAGTCAAGTCAGTCTGAATAGGAGGGGGGTTCCAAGTTTACTTTCGCCAACATACAAGAAGTCAGTGCTACACAAGATACATTCCTCCAGGAGAACTATGTTAACAAGCATCACATTAGAGGAAAGGACAGAGAAGACAACAGACCAAACTAGAATCTCAACCAACTGACTTTTTAAACGTTTGGCCATGCAACAAAGGGTCAGGGGTTAGAGAAGGCCAGCACTCTTCAAAGATGACATTGATCGGGGTCAATGTCATAGAGAAATGTCATGTCCAGCTCAACAGAGGAGGTCAACAGACTGAAAGGGTTGAAAGGGGATTTTTTTTTTCTCGAAGGGGCGGGCGGAGAGGGGATAGAAATGTTGTGTTGGAAAGTCAGAGGGTGGGAGAAAGTAAGGCAGACACATTGTGCTGCAATTTCAGGTCAAAGGTAAGACATATAGGGAGACAAGCAAAGAGAGTGTTGCACAGAGCTATATGTTTAGTGTTTGTTATGTCTCGTAAACTCCAAGAGAGTGTGCTGGACAAAGCTACTTCCTATACACACCAGTTGGTGCCCCTGCAGGTGTGTATGGCATTTGCTGTATGCTCCTGGGCAATGTGATGTTTGCTACAATATGTTCCAAACCAGTGGTGTTTTCTGTGTGGTGTTTGTTTGCTATATGTTCCAAGATACAGTGGTATTTGTGGTATGTTTTGAGACAGCATGGTGTATAAAGAGTGTTCTGTTTTTTGCGTGTTTCATTGAGTCACGACACATACACCACAAACTTACACAATGCCAACGGCACACTATAGTGCACACAGTATACTCCACTGGTAGTCCAAAGATTAATGAACACATCATCACAAAATCTGTCTATGCCCAGAACAAAAACATCACAGGAATTTGTAACTGGATAGTAACTAATGTTCGAAATGCAGACAACAACAGAAGGAAAATGTTACATTCTGCGATTCTATCTCTTTAATCTTGAGAAATTACGGAGTTATTAAAAAAAAAAAAAAAAAAAAAAAAAGCACATTTGAAGGGAAAAGGTGCTTCTACACCACCAAAAAATTACAAAGACATGTTGGAGGATGGCTAACCTTTTCTTTTTATATGTGGAAAATTACTATATACTATATCTTATCCCATCATAGAAATAAGTGATGCTTTTTATTCATTTACAGAGCACTTACTTCCTTTTGTTTTGAATCTTCATAAATGTAACCGAAACAAGAAATGCCTTTGTGTAGACACAAACAACACAGGTTCAGCATGCCAATCAGAAAGGAGATGTCTGAGGCATAAGTTGTCTGTTTGTTGACACATACACAACAGAGGTACAGCATGCCAGACAGAAGGGAGATGACTGAGTCATCAGATGTCAGACAAAAGGGAGATTACTGAGTTAGATATAGACACACACAACAGAAGTACAGCATGCCAGAGAGAAAGGAGATGACTGCGGTATGACAGATAGGAGAGAAGGGAAATAACCCACCTGTAAGATGACCAAAGCATTCTCCATAGAGAGATCGTCTGAGGGCAGCCCCTCCCCCTTCCAGATGAGCTGCTCACTCTCCGTAGACAGGAAGCGTCTCAAGTCGAAGCGGTCGACGCCGATGGTATCTCGCCACTGTCGCAGATAGTCCCTCCTCTGGTCCTCAGGCGCGGCCGACAGATAGGCAATGAAGGCGGCCGCCAGGAGAGCACGTTTGGGCAGGGTTTGGAGCTCAGCAGACAGCTCACCAACCTGGTGGGAACACACAGAGGGATGAAACAGATGTGAATGTTTTACATCCCTATGAACAACACTTAGACCAGGCCTTCCAGCAGACTTTAGTACCTAGGAAAGTTGTAGGCTGGCACACATACACACACACATTCATATATATATGTATATATATATACATACACACACACACACACACACACATGCATGCACAAACACACACTCACACATATACACACAAGCATGTGTGCAAGCGCACACACACATCTGACAATGTACACAAATAACTGTACATACTTGTTTGTTCTAGGGCTGGTATCCTCTTCTCCACTCCTTGCCCCCCCCCCCTCCCCCATACATACAAACACAAGCACAGATCTCGGCATGAACACCCCAACCAACACATGCCTGTTGGTTCCAGCGCTGGTATTCTCCCTCCAATTTCGACACAAGAGTTTCTGCCGCATCGATGGTCTCATTCTCTTTGTCTAGCTTGATCTTCAGCTCTGCCGCTTCCTTCGTCAAGTTCTCAAAGCGAGTACGCAGTTGTGCCACTTTACGATCCACTTCCCCAAGGGCCTGGCTCAACTTTGCCATGCGAGACTCAGCCTTCTCTAAGTTTCTGTAACAGACAGTAGAAAGAAATCAAAACAAATTCCTATTTCTATGGTATGATGACTGCAGTTACAACATATTACGTTAGTCTAGCTTGACTGACCCAAATTGAGGATGCAGTGGGTTGTGACAGTTGTATTTTACCGTTCCTGCTACAAAATTGGTCAGAAAGATAAATTTTATTGAAGTATGATTATCTTTTTCTTTGCTTAAAAGGATATAAGTTACTTTTACTTTTTTCATCCTCTGTTGCCATTGAGTGTTAAGGGAAGATGCAGTTTCTATGGTGGGCCAAGAGTGCAGCTGCTCAGAAGGACAACTTTTCTATAGATGAGATTATCTTTTTCTTTGCTCAGAAGGATAATTTTCCTAAAAATATACTTGCATACACAACATGTTAACTGCCACATAACTTTAGGAACAACATGACAACTGGCATATTATATAACAATAGACACACGTAACATATATTTAGTGACAGACATGCTCAGCACGAGAGCTGCCACATCTAATTTCAGATACACTTACGATACGACAGCTGCCACATTCAGTGACAGACATGCACAGCATGTCAGCTGTCAAATCTAACGACAGACACGTGTATGATACATTTAAGGACAGTCATGCACAGCGTGACAGCTGCCACATCTAATGACAGACACACGTATGATATGACAGCTTCCACATTTAATGGTAGACACGTGTGTGACAGCTGCTAAATTTAGTGACATATACACAACATGACAGCTGTCACATTTAGGGACACATGCACTACATGATATCTGCCACATATTCTGACACATGCTCTAACCTTCTGAGATCATTCTGTTCCTGCTCCAAGGGCTCTATCTTCTCCAGGACATAAGAGTACTGGACGTTGGCTCGAACCCATGCTGCTAGGGGCTCAGCTGCCTGTGATGCTCGCTTGGCACTCTATACAGACATGGACACAAACACAAGAAATATCAGTAACTGAGAAAGATGTCAAAATGAATAACCAAAGCTAATAGATTAGTGCATCATGGATCAATAAAACACAAGAAGTAGTAAAGAATGAGAACACCCTTCTATGAATGCTATCGTTATGGTATTGTCTCTTAATTTTTGTTGTTTGTATTTTCAATTAATAGAAAATTTAAAACTTGAACTATAGCCCTGCAACTACTAGGAGAAAAATGTTGGAAACCAGATTGTCTTGACGTCTGTTAAATCTGCAAGCAGCTTGGGTGAGTCTGAGGTAGCATTATTGAGTGTTGTGTGAAATATGAGGGTTTTTAAATTGATTGTCATGTCATGTATTTAAAAGAAAGGTATCCTCCTTTTTTGGCAAGCCTGAGTTTTTCCCTGACTTTGGTGAATGCTATTTCAACGCTTTTTTCCTTCTTTCAATATAATAGAATTGGTGTGAAGAGAAGCACATCAGTATAATAGAGTCAGTATATTATAAAAGTCGCATCAATTTTTCACCAGGAAGTGACGATGACAATAGTAAGTCGAGGATACTGACAGGAAGTAGAAGAATCATACCACACCCTACTCATATTCCTTTAAGTCTCTCCCAAGAGAACAGAATCCCAGACATGACTTAATGAGTTACCTTTGGATCAAAAGAATCTTTGTTCTTCTTTAGCAACTCTTCCACACTCTTCCTGATCTCTGGTGAAATTTTCCTGGCATCGAAAGTCTGGATCTCCTCCTTCACTCCTCTCTTTGCCAAGAAACTGAAAGAATGAAAGGACAGAGAGATACATTTTTATTTTTGTGCACGGTAACAGTCTTCCTCTTTCCCTCTCTCTCTCTCTCAGTACATTATTGCTTCTCCCACTCCTGGCATGTGGGTGGTTGGCAGGTATTCTGGTATGATTTGCTCGTTCTTTCCAATCAAATATCTATCATCCTTATCTACTCAGAGCTTATACTCGTAAGAGATAGAGCGCAATATAAATGTAATTTATTATCATATAATCTATTATTATCTCTGCTTCTTATTTTTAAAATATATTACTCTTTAGTGATGCTCCTAATTTTCAGCCCTTAATGACTTGTTTGCGTTGCAACTGCTGTAAAACTCCATGAGAAAGTCTCCCCCCCACAGACAGATCAAGGTACTCACCTTTTCATGCTGACCCAGGAGGTGTCAAAGATCCCCATCAGCCTCAGAACACCCTCCAAGATGTCCCGGATCACGTCAGGTGGCGCTCGCAGTGCTCGAATCTCAGAGAGCGACTCTGTCTTAATGCTACCCACGGCGCGGCGGGCTTCCTGGACTAGTGGCTCCACCTGGTGATCACAAATAAAGTGACAAGGGGGTGTGTGTGTGTGTGGGGGGGGGGGGGGGGGGGGAGGTATAATCATATATATCGCTACTTTCAGAAAAACATCGAATTAGTAATGGTTATTTAGTTTTTTTTTGTTAGAGTAAAGAGAAGCACATCAGACAATTATGGCTATTTGTGCATGACAAGAACAAGACAGACAGACACGCAGACAGACAGATAGACAGACAGACAGAAACAACATAAGGAGGGAAAAGAAACAGGACTTATTAGTTACACCCTCTACCCGCCCTCTAAAGTTTAACCAATTTTCAGTCATCATTGCCTGACGACGAATTTTTTTGATGTTGAGAGGGCAATATATTGACACTTGTCACAATAACTTTAAATCAACAGTAATAACAAACACAATGAGAAATTCCAAGGTCATTAAAGATCTATAATTTGCACTGATTTGAGTAAGATTTTCTCAAAGTATGTGATCTTCATCCACAGTTGAGAAATTCTTAAGGGATTGAAACATAAGCGTGCACATATTCTATGATAAAAGTAAAAGTGGAAACATTAGCATTCAAATACGACTTATGACAAATTTGAAACACAAGTATTTATAAGTAAAAAAGCTGGTTGTCACTATTTGACACTTAAAATCGCTCACGTCTCAAGTCATTCCTGAGATGAAAATTCCAGAGATGAAAGACATTAAAAGATCACATATAACATCAGGACAGTACACACTATACAGGACACATACCTCTGCTAGTTCTGTGTCAATGGCCTTCTTCCTCTTCTCCAGTACTTTGTTCTCCTCCGCAGCACTTTTCTTCAACTCTTCCATCTCCAGCTTCTGGTCACCGGCGTTCTGCATGCTCACCTGAGCACAGAAAAACAGCATTACTCATTTTGTATTAAGGTCATAAACAGGTACTTATTCAGCAAGTTCACCTCCTGGTCAAACACAAATAGCACAATGTGAAGGTCACGAGCAAATAGGTATTCTATATGCATGCTCATTTGGATACTCAGAAATTACACAACATACTTTATTCTATCTATGTTACAAATAGGTCCTTATCCTGTATGCTCACATGGGTACATGAAAAAGATAAAATAACATGAGTCACGGCGCAATGGAATCAGGTGCTCGTCAATTTTTGGGTATGTGGAGTTATTGGTATCATCTTAAAGCTTGTTCATACGTCTTGCTTTTGATGAAAAAATAACCATTCATCTCGGATACAAGTCGATATACTGGTGATTGAAGGAGGTGGGGGTCGCATGGTTTCAGAGGCATAATTAGCGAGAAAATGGCTGCCAAAGTTAGTAATTTCCATAGCTTGAGAGTCCGTGGAAACGGAAAATTTCCATTTTTTGTGCTTTAATCAAAGTTTTTAAGTATAATCAAAACATTAATCTTTTCTTTAATGGATATGAAAGGTGTTGAGCCAAAAAACAAAAATTCGATAAAAATTCTCAAACCTACCGAAAAATGCCAGTTTCTTCACTTTCACTATTTTCACAAGCGCCTGCTTTCACCATGATGCTTCTCGTATAGCTAATTCTATGTCGAATACAAACAGGTGAGCATTGTGCATGCTACGCTGGATACAAACTAACAGAATATGACTCACTTTGTTTAAGTTACAATTTGGTGAAAAGTTTTCTGCATGCTCACCTGGATACGACTAATTTCTCTGTGATGAACACAAGCAGATAAGTATTCTATGTGCTCAGCAAGATACACACAAACAGAATACAATAAGACTAACTCTGTGAAGATGGCAGTCAGATAATTAATCTACATGTTCACCAAAACACAAACAAGCATAACTCACTTTGAACAGGTAACAAACATGTAATTGATGCTCACCTGGTCATAGAGACATAACATAACATGACAAACTCTTTGCAGGAGAAAAGGTGAGAATTCATAATATTAGTTTTACTCTGACTGCCACCAGTCCTGAACAATCTCATGTACAAATGACCACTTTCCGTTTCCTTGCGTGTGTTAAAAAAAATATTACAATGACATTATCTTAGACGACCATCTATCTTACACAATGACTTTTCTCCTTAACTGCACAGGACAAGTGCAACTGTAGATCATTGTACTTCCACATGCCATGCCGGCCTGTACAGTGTGCCATTATCTTACCTTGTGGAACCCAATACAGACTGCAAGTACTCTCATACTGAAGTTATTTTCAACAGGGCATGATCATCAAAATCGGACACTTTGGGTGCCACAAAACAGGATCCTGGAATAACACTTTTCAACCTTGATGCACCAGGTAAATCATAGACAAAATGACAGACAAGGGAGAAAAACGTTGAATGACTAGAAAGTCTGCAGAGACTTACTGTGATTTCCTTGAGAGCCGCATCAGCCTCCCCCTGTTTCTCGGCCAGTAGGTGGCTCTGTTCTCCGGCTTTTCTCTTCAGGTCATCCACCAGGACTTTGGCGTCATTAAGTTTGGACACGCCCGCCTGAGAGAAAACAATACAATGTTTAGTTGGTTTTGGTTACGGAGAATAATTTCATTAGCTAGCTGTTCAGAGATACTAAACCCAAAATTAGGAAAATTTTATGAATGTGCCTATGATCAATGCTTTTCAGTAAAATCCACACTGAAATGTGTTTTTAAATGGATGGAAAAGGTGTTGTGACCCAAAAAAATCTATAAAAATTGCTCTACAGTGAAAAAATGTCTGCTTCTTCCATTTCATTACTTTGATGAAGGCCTTACTTCACCATGGTGTCACACACAATGGGTGTTAAAAATAAACTCACTCATATCTTAGAGAGATGGATACACTGCCATCTGTGGTGTAGCAGTTAGGTGTTTTGCAATTGCACGCAGATGACCATTCCTGTAAGAGGAGAATTTTTATTGCATAGATTGCATTTATACAGTGCTCTATCCCATACAAGTATAAGCTCTGAGCACTTTTTCTCAGAAAGCATAGTCAACTATGGTCCTGACTGATTGGTACCGAAAGCCACAGGATATAACTGGTCATTGAGGTGTGAAGCCATGCACAACAGACAAAATACTCCCCCACCTGTAGATGCTGCTGCTTCTCCTGAATGCTGCTCTTCTTCTTCTCATACACGGACTGGTACGTGTTCAGGAACACCATGTAGCGGCGTGGCGTGGCACCCAGAGCGCTGCACGACTCGTGTACGTGAAGGAAACATTTCAACAACTCTTCTCCTCCGGACAGCTTCTTCTTGTGTCCCTTTGGCTCGCCGATCGAACCACCCTCGATCTTTGGTGGTCTCGTCAACAGCATCCATGGGACCTAGGGGAAAGAAAGGGAGGGGGAGGGTTGTGAAAAAACACTGAGTGACTAAATACAGACACAGGTTAAATGTGAATAAATAGTGGGATACTATAAACAGACAGTGCTTTACTGTGAATAAACACTGGTTTATCATAAACAGATTCTGGTTAACTATGAATAAACACTTGACTATTATGAATAACATTGGTTTACTATTAACCCCCACCTCTCCCCAAATTATTATCAACCAACACCAGTTTACTAGGAGTAAAATACTGAGCATGTATGAATAAATACAGGATGATTATGAATAAATACTAGGTCATTGTGAATAAACACAAGTTTACCATGAATAAATACTGAACTATTATGAACAAACACTAATTTACCATGAAAATAAACACTGACTTATTATGGACAAACAATTAACAGTGAGCAAACTCTCTCTCTCTCCACTCCATCTTCCACCCTCTGAACCAAGGACTGTCTGCACAAGGCTTGACAACTGAAAACAGATAGCAGATTACCATGAACAGATTTTCTATTACTATAAATAACCACTGACCTTGACCATGCTCTCCCGGCTCCAGCCTTCCATCCACTGCACCGAGCACTGCTTGTACAAGGCAGGGTTACTCTCACAGTGTAAAGTAAAACTGTTGGCTGTGCTGTCCATCACCAGGACGATGTGCAAGTTGTGTAACACACCTGGGTAACACATATAGGTCAAGGGTCAATACACACACAGGTAACAGATCAAAGTGGATTTAGAGATTGGGAGGGGGGGGGGTAGAGCTCCATCTTACTGAACAATTGGGCCAACATGCAAGTACATGTAGATAGCAGGATATGTTTGAGTACAGACACACTTATTACCCACGAAAGTTAGTTTAGTTTTAGTAAGAATTTTACAGCACTCGCAACTGCACAAGGTCATATGAGCGCCAGAAGATTAGAGGTGTTACAAGAGAGTAACAAACATAAAAAAGAAAAAGGGGAGATAAGGACAATAGATATTACCCACAAAAAACACACCAATCTGCTCATACACACAAATGCACACATATTCTTATATATATATATGGCAACATACATCTGATCTACAATCAAATATAAACCCACTGACACACATGCCTTCACACACATACAAACAAGCATACATGTGTGTCTTTCAATATCCGAGTCTAAAGCAATATAAAGCAACAAATAAAGCATCAGAAGACATCATTTTCTTTCAAGACAAAAGTAAAGTTCAAACCACACAGAAAATTTTAACAGAGCCAATTTCCAGCAACAAGTGCGTTGAAAAATAAAGCAATTCAAAACAGTCTAGTGATTATGAACAAATCAAAAAAGGTCAAAGGGACAATAGAAGAAAAGAGAGACAATTTTAGTCCAAATTCTCCATTTATCACTCACGAGCGGCAAAGAAACTGATCATAGTTCCACGGAATCCGACCTCTGATGCCAGATCTCTGAGCGGTGTGAGCAGGGGCTCCAACTCCTCAGGTGAATACAATCCCGGCACTTCACCAGCAGACAGGAGACTGTTGACCAACTCCAGGAACTGAGGCTCCACAAACTGGTGGTCTTCTAGCAGGAGGACGACCTGCTCACCCTCTATACCGGCTTGTTGCATCACCTGGATAGGAGGGGGGGGGGGAACCACAGACAGATAGATGGACATTACAGAACTACTGGGTATCGCCCTCTATACTGCCTTGTTGCATCACCTAGGGATAGGAGGGGGGTCATAAATGGACATTACAAAACTACTTGGTTGCCTTCTATGCCTGCTTCTTGAGTTACTTGGGGGGGTATAAGGACATAGTTAGGGCAGGCTGCCTCTTTTTCCATAAATCTTTCCAGCTAAGGTAAGGTATTCAAGACCCTGTGATGACATGTGTTTTAAAAAGAAGTCATCTTTGTCTTACTTCTACTAAACAAAACACTAAAAATGAATGGCCTTGACATGGGCACTTACCGTCTTGAGATCATTCTTGAACTGCTTGAGGCCATAGCCCCTGGAAATTTTGGGAGAGAAGAGTTGCATCTGGTGCATGCTGGCCACAACACTGACCGCTGTCCGGCGACCCACGCCGCTGCGACCCGCCATAAGCAGTGACCCGCTAGGCTTGGTCAGTACACGGTCTACCCGCGCCATGTTGTCTAGGACCTCACGGAAGATCAGGATGTCCAGCTCCCGGTTTTCTCGACCTAAAGAGACAGACAAATAAATGAACACACAAGTGTGTGTATAGCATGTCAGTGTATGTGTTCCATTTTTTCCACGACCTTACAGAGGATCAGGAGATCAAGTCCCCATTATTCTAGACCTAATCGCACAGACAAATTATTATTGAAGTACATCTGTGTCTGCATGGCAAATTAGGGTATGTGTGTTATGTCTTCTAGGACCTCAGGAAAGATCAGGATGACTAGTTCTTGATGTCCTCAATCTTATGGAGCAGAAAAAGGTGTATATGTGAGTGTGTATGATGTGAGAGTGTAAATGTGTCATGTAGGTAGGCTATATGTGAGTCTGTGTAGCATATGAGTGTATGTGCATGATGTACGTATATGTAAGTGTATATGTGTGCAGGTGTACATTCCACATGTTGGTATATGAGAGTGTGCGGTGAGTGAACAAGTGCATACAAAATGTCATGTACTTATACAACTACGTGTGCACAGCGTGTGAGTGTATGTGTGTCATGAGTGTTTTTCTGACCTCATAGGATGGATAGAGATATTTGTGAGGCAGTGTAGTGAAATCAGGCGTTCGTCAAAATAAGCAAAGCGAAGAAAGTGGCATTCTCCGCAGGTTTGTGAATTTTTATAAAATTTTCGTTTTTTGCCTCGACACCTATCATGGCCATTAAAGAACACATGTGTGTGGATTTTACTGAAAAATCATGACTAAAGGCACAAAAAATGTACATTTTCAGTTTCCACTGATTCTCAGGCTAAGGAAATAACTTATCTTTGGCGCCCATTTTCTCACAAATTTTACCTCTAAAACCAGGTGACTCCCAGCTCCTTTATTCACAAATATCTCGACTTATACTTAAGATAAATGGATATTTTTTTCATCCAAAGCAAGACAAATGAATAAGCTTTCAAATGGTACCAATAACTCCACGTGCCCAAAAACTGACGAGCGCATGATTTCACCGCATCGTGACACATATACAAGTGTATGTGTTTCCTGTAGGAGCATGTGTATGTATAAAGAACAAAAGTAAATGGGTGTCAACCAGGCATATGTGTGTCGTCTTGGAATATACGAGGGGCATACAAAAAGTTTTTTACCTGACAATGAAGGAATAAAGGTAGAAAGCTGAAATTTGGCACTAAGCTTAGTCTTTCTCTATGTAGTCGCCTCCCAGAGTTATTCACGTTTGCTATCTGTGTATGACCTTGAAAAGACCTTGAAAATAGAGGACCCTCTGTAAGTCAGAAAACCAGCCCTCTACTGTTTCTTTGACCTCATCATCACTTTTTTTACACCAAGATTTTATCTCAGCATAGGATGGGCAATCATTTCCATATACGGCATGCATCTCCGTAAAAATATCCTGTAGTTGCTTGCCCTGAAAGAACAAATACTTCATTACTGCCCGGCACTCCATTTTCTCCATTTTTATGTTGAAACTGGTGAACATACCCTCATTTACTAACAGTGCCTTGATTGTTAAACAAGTAATCTGAAATTTCCTAAAAATTTAAAAGCAGTCTAGGAAGATGACTGTTGGCCTTCACCCCAAATTTCAGCTTTGTACCTTTATTCCTTCATGGTCAGGTAAAAAACTTTTGGTATGCCCCTCGTATATCACAGAGACACAGACAGACAAACACACACACAGACACACACACACACACACACACATAGACAGACACATAGACATTCTGACTCACTGTACATCCTGATGCCTTTTTCGATGGTGGCCTTGAGATCTTCCTCTGACAGTTTCCCAAGTGGCTTGCCAAAGGGAGGTAATGGGGCGCCTGCCCCGACTGCTGGACCTCCTGAGTCTGTGCGGGCCCCCCAGGTCACAAAGTAGGTGTCTGATGGAGAACGAAAACATCATAAAATTTTCAGCAACACATCACTATCGAGGGAGGAACAAGAATCTTACACAATCTGGCTTCACAGATAAAAAAGGGAACAGATATGACAGAAAAGTTCATTTTGAGAACATTCATTTTGTTTTCTTTATCTGCCACTTCTACAATATCCAGATTATGGCAACCTGTGTTTGTGTTGAAGCAGTTTGGTGCTTCGCCATTGCATGCAGAAGACACAAGTTTGTTCCCATGCGGGGAGAATTTTTATCAATTATCTTGGTCTTTCTGCAGGTATGTTGTATCCAGCTCAGCCTGGATGGGTCCCAACAGGCAGGGTTAAAGCCCACCTCCAAAATAATCAGTGTTGATGGAGGTGTGAATTCACAAAAATATTTTTAAAAATTTGGGGCATACGTCTGCAGTATGAAAAATATAAACAACCTGGTTTCAGGAAAAGGCACTGAGGGGAGGGTCAGAGTACAGAGTGTCTGGATAAAGGGAGTATGTAGAAACTTATCCTGGCCATAAAAAGTGGTGACATTTTCATGCTCCCTTTGCTTTAAATCTTCAAGTTTGACCTGTGACCTCTAAACTACTTCTTCATCATACACATTGTCACTTACTGTCAATGTTATCAAAGATGTCTGCAGACCAATCAGAACGCACAACCGACATAAGCATGTTGTCGAACTTGCTGCGGTTGTCCTGGCCAACAATGCGGTCACGGAAGAGCCGCCTGGCCTCATAGGCCCACACCTCCAGCACGGTGTCTGCAGTATTGTCCTTTGACCCTGCCGTGAGGTCGTAGCGTAGCAAGGCCAAGGTCCAGTTGGTGAGGTCACGTGGTGTGAACAGGTAGTGGCTGTGGTCATCCACTGTGAATCTTGACCTTAGCTGTGAAGGTTGGAAAATATTCTCTGATCAAAACGCTCTGAAAGTCAAATCTGCCCAACTACATGGTTGAACTGATTGACATCATTTGACTTTGAGTGAAGAGAAGGACATCCACACAATAACAGCCATGTAGTGCTGGAAAGAATCACAACTGATAGACAGACAAACAAACAGAAAAAACACAGGGAAACTAGATGCACGACCTACCAGGGGCACCCTCCAATCTGATTGACCTTCACCCCATTTGAACACGTTTTTGGCTACTTAAGAGTAAGTGTCTTTGAATGAATGTTTATCTTTGATATGATGAGCTGGACAGTCCTAATAACAACAATACAGGTTCTTCAATAGACTCAAACTTTAGTTGAAATTTTTGTACAAGTTTTACAGCCCTTGCAGTTCAAATGGGTCATTAGAGTATCAAAGATTAAAAGGGTTACTAGAGAGTCAGATACAAACAAAAGAAATATTTTTTGATATAAAAGAAAGAGGAAACGACACCTTAGCGCCCATCAGCCACCCACAGACTCGAACTCATGCTGCAATACAGGGCACTGAAGTGGTAAAGTAATATGAATAGAATGGATAAAACATTTATTGCCAGACTGAAGGAGTCTCCCATCACAGAAGATATGAGAATATGAATTGGTCAATCAACTTTAACTGTTTAACTCAGTAAAAACAAACAAACAAACTAACAGTTTGCAGAAAGAGAATCACATTGACCCTATAGCCACTATTCAGTGCAAGGAAAAAAAGCAAGACCAACAAAAAAAAAAAAAAAAAAGAGGGAGAGTAAAAATGTAGCAACAACCAGTAGCACTGTCCAATCATTTTTATGTAAGAGGAAATAAATAAGACTTTCTAGTTACACCCTCAAACCACCCCCATATGAAAAGAAGTAGGACCTGTCAAAAGCACCTTCCAATCACCCACACGAGCAAAGAAGTAAGACCTACCAGGAGCCCTTCCAAGCTCCCACAAAAATAAAGAAAAAGCATCCTCCAACCACCCAAGTGATAAAAAAAAGTGGGACCTACCACTGGTACCCTCCAACCACCCATAGGAGTTAAGAAGTAACACCCTCCAACCACCCAAACAAGTAAAGAGGTAGGGCCCACCAGTAGCACCCTCCAGCCTCCTGCACAAACAAACAAGACAAAATAGTGAAGTAGGCCACCCTGTAACTCCCCACCTGTTCATAGAACTGTATCATGCTGGCGGCCAGAGCGTGGACCTTGGAAGCACTGCCCCACACAGAGTGACGGGCCAGCTGCCGGTGCATGATGGGACGGAGATACGCACTGTAGATTGTCTGGAGTTGGTCACGGTCTGGGTACCTGGCGGGTACAAAAGGACATTATATCTTTTTTTTCACCTACTTTTTCTTCTCCCCCCCCCCCAACCAGGGCCAGTCATTGACTTAGTAATTATAGACGGCAATCATTTAAGTTTAATGCCCCTCTTAGCAATGAACATTTATCTAAGATGTTATACCTCCAAATTTAACATCTATCTCTGATAAAACTGAAGTAAGTGAATGGACGGTCTTATTTCTCCAACAACCCAAGTGCAAGAACACTACATTGAGGATCTAAACCACGGCCATCCACACCATAGACTAGTGAGATAATAGGTACTCTAACATGAAATGCAACCATCTTATCACTAGACTTATGATCCTTCCTTATTTTAGACATCAACAAGAAAAATGAGAAGGAAAATGAGGAGCTGTGTAAAGCCACTGTAATTCACACAACTATTTTGCTTGCAACAAAACAGAAGTTCCACATGTGATTTGCTAAAATGTGGAAAAAAAGTGAGGTTGTTGATGCAGTAACAATAGTGGTTGTGGCTCATAGTTGTGGTCAAAGTTCTTGTAGCAGTTGCAATGGCTATGATGACAACATTACAGCCAGTTACAAATGTGGTAGTTATTGTTGAAGCTGAGGGTGGTAGTAGTTGACATACCCAACGTTACAGACACGCACGACAGAGGTGAAGCGAGGGGTCAGTTTGTGTCGGCCCAGGGTGGCACCGGCGTTCATGCTGGCCACAATTTGGACACCTTCCAATCCAACCCACTCCAGATTAGAGTCATAGAAACCATTGTAGGTCACCACCTGTGGAAATTGAGTGGGTAGATGAGGATGGGAGTGGCTGGGGTGGGAGTGTTAGAGAGGAGAGAAGATGACAACAGCAAAAACAATGTAATGGCAGATGATTTACACCCCCCCCCCCAATTCACAAACATAATCCACAACCACATGCAAAACACACAGACACACACACATAACACACAGACGCACACACACAACACACAGTGGTAGGCACACTCATGTACCTGCTGTAAGAAAGCAATCATCTGACAAGTCCCCCACTTGTCTGGCTTGGGCAGGTTGATGTCCTTGAGATAGAGCAGCAGGCGCTCGCAGTCCTTGGGTCGGTAGACGCGGCCTGTGTTTGTGGAGATCACCATGCATGTCTGGCTCAGCTTCTGCAGGATGTGGCTTGGGTTGGTCTGAGCACTGCAGTGAACCATAGCCACCTGCGTGGAACGCAGCTTATCAAATGCATGTCGCAGTAACAGTCTGAGGAGAAAGTGGAAGCACAGGTTGTAAAGAAATGTTCCTCCTGAGTTAAATGCAACCTCTCGAATGCACAATGCAGCAACAGTCAAGGGAGAAAGGGGAAATACATGTTGGAAAGAAATATGATATAGTGTGACTACATGGCCATCTGCGTGGAACGCAGCTTCTCAAAAATGTCACATGGGTAACTGTGTGGAATGCAGCTTCTCAAATGCATGATGTGGTAATAGTACAATCTGAGTATGTAGTCAACACATGCTGTACATAAATTTTAACTTGAAATATATGTGAAATGACCCCTGTATGATCAAGCAGACCCAAAAGATGGCATGTCTATAAGATTTCACTACAGTCCCTTTGACTAGACATTTTGTAGAAACTTGCCATTCTAGCCTCCACAGAATCAAACTAATATCCAGCAACCTCTAGAGCTATCCAGTTATCACATATGCATGAACCTTTTGATTGAGATTCTCGTGCTAAACCTCACAACTAGGAAACCCCGAAATATGACAAACAACAAAAATTTTATGTGCCATAGACTAGAAAGCCCCTGCAATAACCAAAACATCACATGAGTGACTCACACTTTGCCACACCCCTCTAGCACCACATGTGAGACTCACCCCTTGCCTCTAGACTAGGAAGCAAACAATATGTGTGTGACTCACCTCTTGCCTCTAGACTAGGAAGCAAACAATATATGTGTGACTCACCCCTTGCCTCTAGACTAGGAAGCAAACAATATATGTGTGACTCACCCCTTGCCTCTAGACTAGGAAGCAAACAATATATGTGTGACTCACCCCT